ATGACCTTTCTAAACTACATCGATAATGAAATTTTGTTCTAGAAATTTTACTATCATTAAATGTTGGAGCAAAATTGCTGTTAAATAAGTTGTCCAGATAAAAAAAAAAATTGTCATTTTATACAAATATATTTCGTATATTTTCCCGTTTTCCTCTTTTTTTTTTTAGTTTTTGAAATTTGATGAGAAAACTCCTGAGAAAATCGAAAAAAAACACGATTACATACTATAGTTAAACTGATAGATCCCTCGCTATGCTTTGAATCTAAAAATAAATTTCAAGATTTCACGATAAACAGTTTACCACAGGTTATAGCTACTTGTTTTCATTGAATTATTTGCACTAATCTTCGAACTCATTTGAGTTATGCTGACGTAAAAGTGATTGCAAAAAATAAAAATTAAAAATTCGTTTCCATTTAGATACTGCTAGAGCTCTAATAAATAGATCGACAGACCAACAGAACAAAAACAGTAAGTTGAGAATCTCTAAACGATAACTTTGTGGTAATATTTCATCATCCTATAAGTTAAATAACGAAATAATTATTATTAACTGATATTAATTTGATAATAAATACAACTATATATATATATGCATTGACTAATATTCAGTATACAAAATTTTATGCTACAGCAATTTTCTCCTATGAATATACAATATAGAGAATAATTTATAATAAAATATTCTTATTAAATAGTAAAATATAAAATTATAGGTGGTTTGAAAATATATAGATTTCCTTTTGGGGGGGGGGATTTTTAATATCTTTATTATTTTTCATGATAATTCAGAAAAACCAAAAACGACGAAAAATAAGACTTTTCAAATTACAGAGTAACGATTTCATTATTAAAAATGTTTACGGCTTATGTTTTCTATCATAAACATTGCTTCAATTGAAAAACGACAAAAGACTTTTTTTTGGTAAATTTTTAATCTAGTTGGTGAGTAAGAAAGACATATTTTGATTTTCTTTGTAGTTTTTTTTAATAATTAATAAAACTGAAAAATACCAAGAAAGAACGAGAAATTTTACAAAAATAACACTTTTATTATTTTAAATGCTGTTTCTATAATGTATTTCAGTTTAAAATATTCATAGAGACTTGAAATTTTGACAGAAAACTCATATTTTCCTTTTTAGACGTGGTAAAATTTTCAAAATTTTTTTGCTATTTTTGAGCTTTTTATAGACATTTTAATTTTGTGAGTTGTTTACGTAATTTGTATTAGGTAGGTACTCTGTAGATAAAATTGTTAGACTTAACAGATATACTTGTGAAATTGACAGTCATACTATGTAATTAAAAAAAAAAAAAATAGAGTATAATGTACTATTTTTTATTTTTTATGAGATTTTTAAAATCAAATTTTGATGAAAATTGTAAATATTATGACTTTTCTAAACATATATAGCCAAACTTCGTTTTGAATCAATTTTCGTCAGTAATGGTTTATCGTTGATTATACAGGTATAAATTTAATAACTGTATGTACCTGCCAATCCCACTTTCCCAACTATCTACAACAGTATCCGAACCTGTCCCCAACTATTTTTTTTTTTTTAATTTTTGATATTTTATTTCAATCTCTAGGTTTCCATATTTATTTAACCTATTATCCATGTACCTACCTAGGTATACTTATTTAGATTATAGAATGGATATTTTTTGTATAAATGAAAGTTTTAATATGTAATTTAAAGTACCTTCAAAGCTTAATAAATTAATTATACATCAAAAATATGAATAAATACAATTTGTAATTCCTATAATGTTAAGTACTCAAAAAATTAATTTCCAAATAAAATCACATTTATTTTAGATTAATTAATAGTGTAGCTCTGATAAGAATTTTACAATTTTAATTTAAATATTTTTTTTTTCTTTGAATTGACAATGGGCATCGATTAAAATTATTTACCAATGTATAAATGTTTAAAATTTAAACTAGGGGAGCTTCTATTTTTACGTGAAAATTATTTAATAATATTGATGTTTCTTACCGTATTTAAATTCCATTTTTTTTAATTTGGCATCTTCTAATAAAGTTTTAGCACATTAGTAATGAGACAATTTGTAGTTTTTATAATGTATAATTCATTCTAAGAATAATACGCTAAATAATTAACATCTGTCATTTATGCCTATGCCATAAACAATGATTATTTCCCACAATATTATGTATTATGAATGGAAATGTTTTGTCGTGATAGTCAAAATTTAAATTTAATATGTTATCTAAAACGAACAAAGGTCGTAATATTTGTTCACACTAACAAACGACAAGTTACATATTTAATGCAAATTTATTACTATATATTTAGTTTCTAATGCAAATAAGACGTATAAAATCCATCATAATCACATTAATTAACAATGATATCATTGTTTACTACACATTATAACAAACATTAATTATAATTTATATTACACCTAGAATAATAAAATTTAACATAATTTAAGTTTAAGGTTATCATTGATTTTATATCATTTAAATGTTTAAAATACGCATATTTCCATTTGCTCTATATTACTTGGTGTTTAAGGGGCACTTGGGAATTTTGGTATATATTGGTTTTGAATCATGGACGTTTCGTCCCTGTCAAAAACAAGTTTACGGACATTTGGTTATCAGGTTTTTAAATCATTATTATGCTTATTAATTTATTCAAAAGTTCATTATTTTACTAACAAAACCACTCCATATTTTTTCTATATACGTACTACAATACAAACAAAAATATAACTATTTTTAGTGTGTAGAATTGTAGAAATAGTAAGTGTAAAAACATTTTATCGAATCGGCTTATCTTAATAACTTTTGATATACCTACTAAATATTATATATGTACCTATTTGAAAACTCCGCCATTTAATGTATTAATATAAATTTAGAATTTCAGCTCACAAACCTGTTTGATTATCTAGTATATGTAAAATTCTTTATTACTTACCTAAAGTCTATATCAGTATATATATTAGACAGTAGTTCATTTTGAAAACAATTTTTTGTTTATTCATTTAAATTATTTATTAAAAATAAACATAATACATATTAAGTTATTTTTGGTGAAATAATGAACTTTTGAAAAAATGTATAAATAATAATGAATTAAAAAACCTGAGAACCAAATATCCTATAGTTAAAATATGCCGGAGACCAAACGTTCTATCTTAAGAGGACGTTATACCCGCATCTACTGTCTCAGTCCAACTTTTGGATAATATGCAAAAATAATGCTTACACAGAATAAGTAAAACCAGCTTAATTTTGATTTTATAGTAGTGTCTATTATTAAATTTATAGAGAACAATATTTTGGAGGGAATTTCATAGGCATTTTTTATTATTCAAATTATACAGCTCGATATATAAAAGATACAAAAACCTTTTTTTTTGTTTTTTTAAATAACTGTAACTTCTAATAGTTTATGATTCAAAAAACACCTATGCCATTCCCTCTAAACTATTGTTCTCTATAAATTTCATAATGGGTACTTTTTACTCTAAAATCAAAATTAACCCAGTTTTACTTGTTCTACGCAAGCATTGTTTTTGCATCTTACCCGGCCTTAGTCCGGTTGGATTAATGCAGTATATGCGAGTATAACGTCCACTTAATGATTGCCGGGGACGAAACGTTCGTAATCTCATTTTTTGCCGGGAACGAAACGTCTGTTTATAAGGTTTATTTACACATATCCATTCCGTATCCGTTGTTCTTATCCATTCAGTGCCATTAGTACCATATTGTTCCATAAAAACCATGTCCGTATCAGTAAAATTTACAAAAACATTGTCTCCGACAAATCTAAAACTACGGAATCGGAAAGCACTGATACTGAACGACAGCGAAACGGATATATGTATGTAGACATTATCACCATTGCACAACATATAATCACGGAACGGATATGTGTAAATAGACTTTTACTATTGGTTTTATATGGTGTGATATATTTTATCACCACCCATTGATAAGCAATTAATATATTTTCCAATTTCCTCTATTTCCATTAAACCTTACTTGACCCTACATGTTTTTAGTTCTATAATATAAAATGTTTAATGTTTTTAGTTACGAGGTATAAACCTCCCAAATCCCCCCTCCAAATTTTTGTCTGTATACGTGTCTGCCATAAATAAATTTAAAGAGAACATATTTTTTCGGAACACAATACAACTAAAAAAGTATGTGCTGCACCAGCAGGCAACAGGAAGGCATATGTGGCGGCGCGCCGTATTGTTAAAAAAAAGTGCGAACCAGTCTTTGAGTGAACAACAAAATATACACTGCAATATATAATATACATTTACATCGCGCTACCCTATAACTTAATAATCAGTTGACAGCCCCGCATTCCAATGAGAATTCCTCATGCCTAATAACAAAATATACACCACACATAATAACGAATGCATTCATATTATAAACTTTGCTTTTTATATTTAATAATAATTCAGTTAACTACTAATATTGTTCCTATCTAAGGGCTCTTATTCATCTAATTTGACTATTAGAAAAAAGAGCTGTTACAGCAGTTATTTATGTTATATTATCTGTAAACAACAAGATAAATCATTGTTAACGAAATACTATTATCAACGAATTTCGATTGAATATATTTTTAAATATAATTTTTTTAATTTTCAAAACAAAATTGTATTCACATACAAACTAAATAAAAATTTTAAAAACTCAAAAATGCTAAATGCCTATAAATAGATCAAAAATCGTCCGAATATTTTAAAAATCGAAACTAATAAAACCGTCAAAGCCCTAAAATTTTCCGTTTTTCCTATAAAAAAATCAGGGAAATACGACTTTTTTCAATTATTAAGAAATACGAAAAATCAAAAAAATGACTTACTAACACATAATAGATACAATTATTTTTCAGGAAAAATTTCACTCTTGACATTTGGAGCAAAAAAATTTAAAAAATGAAAATTGTATTACCGTAAATTCGTCAGTTTTTCCTAGGTTTTTTTTCCTGTTTTTCCTAATTATTATAAAAACCACTAGACAAATTAAAAATTGACCCCCTAAATGTAACAACTAGATGCAGAATATTACAAAAAAGTTCTTTTGTAACTTTTAACTGGAACGAGATTTCTGTTGGGTTTTTACAAACATAAAAACCAATACATGCCCCTTTACCTCTCAGAATATAAAAAAAAATAAGCAATTATCATAATAAAAACAATACATTCTTCGCTCCAATCAGAATCTCAAAAATACGCATGTATGACATAAATCGCTAAAACAGTATGTGAAACCAATTATGGAAATTTTGGAAACGACAATTACCAATTATGGAAACGCGAAAGGTATGTAAAACTACGAAAATATTTAAATACTCGTAATAATGAACAAACTAAATTTCTAAAATAATCTTCAAATATATGTATTTTCTTAGTTAAGAGTGTCATTGGTGCAATGTATAATCATCGTTGAATGTAATAGGTCCGAATTAATCAAAGTTAAAACACTGTACTCAAAGTTTTTTTTTTTTTTTAATAATAGATTCGAGTACATAGATAAATAATGGGTATATGTAAAACTAATATATTTGTTACCATGGCATAAGTAGGGCAACAATTTACACCAGGAAAATATAGTATCCACTGATTGAATATTCGGACAAAACGTTTGCGAGCATATTGTTGGGAAATAAAAAAATATTTGTATTGTACGTTAATAGGGAAGTATATTATAATAAACGTAGATGAACACCAACAACAAACATTTCTTCAAAACGATGCATGTGTTTTCAATTAATTAACCCTTTGAAAATACTGTTTAAAAAAAAATCAAGGCAACTTTTTTTATTACTATTGCAAAGGATGAATTTTTCATTTATATACACAATCAAATATGTAGACAATTTATATTGGCGAATAATAGAATCCAACTTATTTATTATTGGTTCATCCTGTTTAATTTAATTTTCGCCTCTATTAAAGGTATAGATAATATAATACATTTATTTGCGTTGTCCATTTCTTTTAATTCCGATCAGCTAGTTTATTAGGCGGACGGAAGTAATGTTAATTTGGCTATTGTTTAGTCAAATAAATTTAGGAAATTGTAATCAACTGTAAATATGTTTTTAATGGTTAGATTTTTTTTTTTTAGTTCTCAACTTAAAATATATATTGTTGTTTAAAATATTTTTAGTTTCTAATTTTTTCAATTCTCTTTAATAAGTCTCAACAGTCAGCACCTCTATTTAAGTAGGTAACATATCGATAGTTATTTAATATTTGAGATAAACGTTAGTGGTCTTTATGATATAAATTATTTTATGTCGAACTTTGTTTACCTACACAGGTTATTTTGAAACCAGAATATAATTTTCATTAATCCCTGAAGTATGTTATATTACATTATTGCGATACACTTTGTTAATTATTATACTAAATAGCCTATTATGAAAACAAATATAATGGTCGCTCCTATTTCACCTTCACATTTTTCGTGGAAATCATCTCGGCATATGTTTATAAATGCCACTATAAAAATAGTGCGATACAATATAAGGATAACCTATATGTTTAAAACTATTAAATTAGGTTCAAGAATGAGGAAAAAACAACGTAATCCCCACCACAAATCACTACAGCATCTTTACTACTAACATAAATATTTTGAAATACCTTCTTAAAACAATTCATGGTCACGCAATTCATACAATTACGTATTCAAATTCCCTATAATAATAATTTGGCCTGCAATCTTCTTTTTTTTTTGGCCTACAGCCTTAATTTTTTTTTAAATCATATAATCGAGCTTAGTAATAAAATTATAGTTTCTTATTTTAAATCAAAATAATTTGTTATTTCTGTTATTATTTAAAAAATTAGACATTGTAAAGCAGCATCAGAAGAGTACAAAAATTAGCAATGAGATGACTGAACGATTCCAAGGTCAATTTAACGGAAGCAATTACATCAGTTATCTCAATAATTAAGTCAAACTCTGTATCTACTAAAGTTGAGATCTGTAAGATAGATTTTTAAATGCTTATTTGTAAAAGAAAAATACATTTAAGCATTTTAAGTAGGCTATTCCATCTAGTTAGTAAATCAAGAAGAATCTTTAATTCTTCGCCATGTTACGCCTTAACTCATTTTTAAAGTATATAGTGTCATTAATTTCATCGTTCATCAGCTATCTTTTAAAATACAGTAAAATTGTACGTATTTTTTTTATTAGCTCATTTATGTTCTGCTCATTAGTTAACTATAATGTACGAACACTCAATTATTCAAATAACAGAACACGGATTTAAGATTTAAATTTTAAATAATTAATCTTTTTATGTTTATTGTCTTTGATTATATTGCAAATCCTAATTTTAAATTTTAAATTCTTATTTCATGGGTTTAAAAAACAGAATCTATGGTAAAGATAAAATATTTTTTGTTGCTCCCCCCCACACTCGAGAAATATTTCGGCGGGCGGCCTTGTACTTATAACACTCATATGAGAACCTTCATCTAAAAATAAATAAGTTAAAAAGTAAAAACTATTCTGATAATGAAGCTCAAAACTATAAAACGGTAGGTAACTCTCATTTATATGTTTTCAAATTTATCAGACATCGTATTGAGGTAACTGAATAATGTATCCAAATAATTGTCTAACATATTATTAATTATATACGTACAACATTCGTGGTTGATTTATATTATTTTTTTCGCTTGAAACAACACCAAAAAATATTTGGCAAGAGGCAAGACCAAGGAAAAAATAGATTTTTTTTAACTAAGTTCTTTCATAGAGTAAAATGTACCTATTTTAAATAGGTTTGTTTTAGTTTATACATTAATAATATTTATAATTAGTATTATTTAATTTTTAATATAAACAAATTATTTAATATTTGATTTAAACCTACATCAATTATACACGTAATAGGTACGTTGAAAAAATGCGTAGTATGTTAGAATGTTCTAAGTGGTTTGTCTATTTTCTACGGATTTAAATAAAATCGAAAACATGCCACCGCTATAAGTACCTACTTTAAGAAGCGTAAAAGATTAAATATTACGCGTAAATGATAAATGCACGCAGGGTAGTCAATTCGGAAATTCACGTGAATGCCTTATTTTTACAATATCTTTTATAATGTCATTTTTTAATCTTTTTATGATGCACATTTATAGCTGAATTAATTATAGATTATTTATAAATTTAAAAAAAAAAGTAAAATAAGAACACGTTTCCTTCAAATGTTATAGGTTTTAACAAAAAAAAATATATATATATGTTTAACAATAAATAATTTTTCTCAATCACTTTATAATATTTTAAATTTTGAGCGCGCGAGACAACTGAGCATTCATAGTTTTACTATGATGTGTGTTTTTTTTTTCAGTCAATCTTTAAGGTTTTGTTATAATTTATCAACCGTATATGATTGATATATACCATCAAAGGCTTTCGGATATAATTTATAAATTATTATTTATATAGTTTATATAGTTCTGTAAGTAATTGTATACTTTTTTAATTTTGTTAAGAACATTATTTCGTGAAAACTTTGGCTAAGGATTGAGCAAATTTGTTTGGTATTAATCAAAGGAACAAAAAATACAAAATAAAATGTATATGGTTGAGCATAAAATATACCGAAATATAAACATCATCGGAAATAGTTTTCCTTAATTTAGTTGTCATGTAGTTAGAAAATATTAAGCTATGATCATTAGGAAACATATATAATATATAATTCTACATGTGTATCTAATATTTTTTCTGACAACCTAATTTTATGTTCAATTGTATTGCGTGTTTACATTTTTACCTCGACTGTGAATATAAAACATTACACGATTTTATCAGATGCATCAATTACGAATTTGAATAATCAAATCGTAAAACGTAAAATTATATTAAAACATAAACGAATAATTTGTATCTCAAACTAAATTATATTAATAAATTAATAAAGTAAAAACAAAATTATTAAATGGTTAATACTTGTAAATAAATATAAATAAATAATTTATATGTAAAAATAAATAAGTAAATTCATCGCCTGGAGAATTAAGATATGTGTATTGTACGACTGGTTTTGAATTAAAAATTTACCATCAGGAAAAGTCACAAAGTCAAAAAGTAAAACATAACTTAATAAAAAAAATCATATTACATTCAAAAGTTACACGTATCTATGAAATGTTAAAAATTTAAATGGCACCGGAGTTATTATCATAGGTATAGTTCATAATAGTAACTATAGTGATCCGTTTTAGGTAAAATTAAAAATGTTATTAATATATATGATAGTGAATTGTATGAGTAGCGATTTTTACAGGAAAAACGATGAGAATAAAAGGTAGGCAAGTGAACTGTAAATGTAGATGGGTAAGCCATAGACTTACTTCGTACGATGGTTGGCCACTGTTGTAGGTGAGAAGTTGGGAAGGTAGGATAAAGAAAGGAATTTAATTTATACATGTACGCAACGATTAATCTTTGCTAACAAAAAACGATTTTGAACAGAACTCGGTTATGTTTTGAAAGGCCGTATATAAACGATTTTGGTAAAATTTGGTACCAAAATTCTTATAAGAAAAAATTATAAATTACTTACAATTTTTTTTTTTTACTATTAAGTACGACTTATAATTAACCTCGTGTTAAATTTTGAAGCATTTCTGTTTGGTTTATCAATTTTATCCACAAAGTACTTACCGAATAAAAATTACGTAGAAAATTCGCAAAGTTAAAATGTCTATAAATAGCTGAAAAATGGTTAAAATGTTTTGAACATTTTAGCAAATCTAAAAAAGAGAAGTATAAGTTTTCTGTCCAAAATTTAAATCTGTACGAATATTTTTAACTGAACTACAGTAAAATCAAAATTGTAAATAATACATTTCGTAAAGTTATTCACAGAAAAAATAAAATAAACATCATTGAAAAATTATTATGTGTAGTACTAGCCATTTTAAAAATTTTAATAAATGTTCAGTATTTGGATTCAGCACTAGCCAATTTAAACTTAATAATCCGTCATATGTGACGAGAATTTCCTAGTTATTAAAAAAATGACAAGAGAATGAAAATATTACATGCCAGTGCACCGACTAGGCAAAATATTCTACCAGAAATTTCGGCCGAATCATCGACTTTCTAAGAGTGATTTCTGGTAGAAAAGTGATTTCCGTACGAACTTGAAAAAAAATATTAATAAATCATAGTAAAACATCTAATGCATTCCTTATTACGGTGAGCTACACTCGGAATATAAAATCACAAATAGGTAATAGGTACCAATATTATAATACATTTGTCTGTGCAAGGTGACCATCACCATGGTGATAATTAAAATATTAAATTGTTTGAGAAATATTACGAGCTGGCGGTCAAAAACGGATCAGTGGTGTGACGACAGAATATGAAAATATGTTGAAGTTTAAGTTTTTTAATGTAATCATTCGTATTAAAAACTACTTTTGTACATAGATATAAGTGGTGTAACCACTATATTATAATGTATATTAATTATATTATATAATTACATTATACTATTAATTTGATAAACGCAGCACATGTTATTACATTGTTATTGATATGTCCCATACATATTTTAATTATTAAAAACGTCTGTGACCGCCAGAGTGACCACTACGCTAATAAATAAAAAAAGGACGGACGTATACTTCGCATTGCTGGTGTACCACTATTGTATAGGTGGAAAATTAAAAAGATAAGATATATAGGGTAAATTAATTTATATCTGTGCATAACGATAAATCATAGATATCAAAATACGATTCTGAACGAAGTTCGGTTGACCGTGTTTCGATTAATTTAAATTAAAAAATATATTAATTTGTAACTGTTCAAAATAAGTAGCACAGTTTTTTCGTTTCAAATTTTTGAGCAATTTTATGAAACTTAAAAATTTTATTTTCCAACATAGGAAAACATGGTAGTTACTTCATCAAAATGTGAATTTAAACACTGATAATAACAAATTGTGACAACAGATTTTTAAAATTTGTATAGTACTGAACTTAGTATTAGAATTTTTATAATTTCTGAGAAGCTAAAACAACGTTATCAAAAAACATCCAAAAAAATTCATTAGTATTCACGAGTACATTTTCCT